AGTACCTAGACATTGAAAGGCAAGATATGAAAACTACAAAACTAAAGATGCATCCGGGAACAGCAGCCAAGAAAGTGTTCATGCAAAGACTCCACGGCAACTGACAGGGAGAGGGGAGGCACATATACATAAAAGAAAGAATCCAGTAGTAGAATGCAGCAGCAGATTCTCATGAGCGGCTCCGTCAGGAAGGGTGTATAAATGGCCCTAGGGCCCACTCATATCTAAGGAGAAGGAAAGAAATACAGAAAAGAACGGGGAGAGGAGGAAGAAAGGTCTGCAGGAAAAAAGGGAAAGCACAGAGAGGCGTTCAGAAAACGGAACCTCCAAAAATGTAAGCTACATTTTGGGACGCCCCTAAGCCGGTGGTATGTACCTAGACATTGAAAGGCAACATATGAAAACTACAAACTAAAGATGCATCCGGGAAAAGCAGCCAAGAACGTGTCCATGCAAAGACTCTACGGTCAAATGGCAGCTGAGAGGGGAGAGGGGAGGAAAATATAAATTGAAGAAAGACACCAGCAGTAGAATGCAGCAGCAGATTCTCATGAGCGGCTTCGTCAGGAATCGGGCAATGGCCCTAGGGCCCACTGGTATCTAAGAAGAAGGAAAGAAATACAGAAAAGAACGGGAAGAGAAGGAAGAAAGGTCTAGAGGAAAAAGGGAAAACACAGAGAGGCGTTAAGAAAATGGAACCTCCAAAAATGTAAGCTACATTTTGGGACGCCCCTAAACCGGTGGTATGTACCTAGACTTTGAAAGGCAACATATGAAAACTACAAAACTAAAGATGCATCCGGGAACAGCAGCCAAGAAAGTGTCCATGCAAAGGCTCTACAGCAACTGAGAGGGGAGAGGGGAGGCACATATAAATAAAGAAAGAATCCAGCAGTAGAATGCAGCAGCAGATTCTCTTGAGCGGCTCCGTCAGGAAGCGGGTAATGGCCCTGGGCCCACTGGTATCTAAGGAGAAGGAAAGAAATACAGAAAAGAACGGGCAGAGAAGGAAGAAAGGTTTAGAGGTAACAAGATGAAAACACAGACAGGCGTTAAGAAACCGGAACCTCCAAAAATGTAAGCTACATTTTGGGACGCCCCTAAACCCGTGGTATGTACCTAGACATTAAAAGGCAACATATGAAAACTACAAAACTAAAGATGCATCCGGGAAAAGCAGCCAAGAAAGTGCTCATGCAAAGACTCTATGGTCAAATGGCAACTGAGAGAAAGAAACCAGCAGTAGAATGCAGCAGCAGATTCTCATGGGCAGCTTTGTCAGGAATTGGGTAATGGCCCTAGGGCCCACTGGTATCTAAGAAGAAGGAAAGAAATACAGAAAAGAACTAGAGGAAAAATGAAGACACAGAAAGGCGTTAAGATTATGGAACCTCCAAAAATGTAAGCTACGTTTTTGGAGGGTCTAAACCGGTGGTATGCACCTAGACAGAAAGCAACATATGGAATCTACAAAAATCTACAGAACTAAAGATGCATATGGACAATAAACAATCAATATGGAAAATTGAAAGCCACCTGGAAAGGCTACCAAAAGGTCAAAAGGCTTTAGAATGGCTCAAAGGCTTGAAACTAGGTTGGGTTGTGGAGGTGGGAGATGGCCAGGGTGGCTGGGTCATAAGAAAACCATAAGAAACGTGTAACGCTTTTGGTTTTGTTATGATTTTGATATAGTTTTGATATGATTTTGGTATGGTTTTCCTTTTCCGAAGGATGGAGGCAGGTTCCCCAAAGCCTCCTGGAAAGGCTACCAAAAAAACTCTGGAGTTGCCCAAAGGCTTGAGAAAAAACGGCAAATCATACCAAAACAATAACGACACCATAAAGGCATACTTTACATACATGCTTCTGTCACTGGCTTGGAAATAGCAGGAAGAAAAGGAAGAAGGTCTAGAGGAAAAAGGTAAAACACAGAAAGGCGTCAAGAAAACGGAACCTCCAAAAATGTAGCTTACATTTATTCAAGAAATGTAACTTACATTTTTTAAGGTGTCCCTAAGAAAATGTAACTCAGATTTTTAAAGCTCAAAATTGCAAAAAATGTAGCTTACATTTAGACAGGTCCCCCCCCCTTAGGGGTGGGGATATTGAAACAAGTATCCGACCGCAGAGCATCACACATATACTATACATATATATATATATTATGATATTGTTTGGTTTTAATGTTTACTAATTTCCGCAAGCCGCAGGATACCACGGGTTTGTTTGTTCCACACAGGTCTATATTTTTCGGGGTCCATGTTCGTTGTATGGATGCTGATGCTGGACGCGAACTTTTGCGCATGGGTTTGCGCGAGTGTAACGACGGGGCATCCGGCTGAAAGATCGACGTTTTCTGCAGACTGGATGCTTTCCCGCACACAGATGACTCGTTCTGTCTGTATTGGGTTGAAGACGACCGACATTAAGGGCATCGCTACTGGTATCTCCTGGCATCGCTACTCGGAACAAGGGCATCGCTACTAGGAACAAGGGGCTCCTGGCCTTACTACTAGGAGCCAGGACGCTACTGGGGTTCCTGGCGTCGCTACTAGGAGCAAGAAACTACTAGTAGATGATGGGCTAAGATGATCTGTGCCGCACAGATCCTGCAGGCGCAGTGGCAGAGGGGCAAGGCACCGGAGCGGAGCCGCTTCCAACGGCTGGGGGCAGCCGGACCACCCACACACGAGGCCAGGCTGTTGGCGGACTCGCTGGCGCAGGTGGGGCCAGAATGTGTTTGCCTTTTCTTCCTGTTTATGTGGTGGCCTGGGTTGATGGATGAGGCTGTGTTTTTCTAGAATTGTCGTGTTGTTTCAGCCGATGTGAGCAAGTACAATGAGCGAGTTTTGCGACTCAACTCGCAGGGTTTGGGATGTGGGGTTTGCCAGCAGCTGATGAAGAGCTTGTGGGAAGACTTGGCGCGGCCGACAGCCACCAACCTGCGGGAAGTGATCTCCAAGGGCTGTCCCTTCCTGGTGAAGAAACATCTTCTACGACAGGGCTGGGCTGCCTCGAGCGGTGCGCTTTGCGAGGGGGCCGGCCGACGGGCGGCGGACGGTGAAGCTTGGTGCTTCCTGCAGGAGAAAGAGCGATGGCTTTCGGTGGTTCGGAGTGGAAGCACTTTTGTGTGAACATCCAATAACGAAAGGAACCGAATAGCGATGGCCTCCAACCTAAGAGCGATGGCCTCCAGCTCGTTCATCATGGTTTTGAATCACCACATTGATAGATTTTTGAGTTGCCTTGTCACCCTGCCTGAGTGCTGCTCTCCCACGGTGAGAAGGACATGTCTCGCAAACCAGTTTTGAGACTCGAAGAATGAGACTCTTTTCAAGATTTGTGCCACATAGAGTTTGTTTTGCTACTAGTAGCGTCCTTGCTCCTAGTAGCCGTCATAACTCACCCAGTCTTGAAGATTTCTCCCAGAGCCAAAACAAGGATCAAAAACGGCAAACGAAGGGAAGCATGTAAAAATGCAGGACACCCTTTCAGAGTCGGTGGAGCACCCTGAGCTGGCCGAGCACTATGATCCAGCCAAGGATTCATTGATGTTAGCCTGTGAAGCTCAGAGAGAAGACAGTGGCATGATGATGTGCACAGGAAATATCCATGCTTGTCTTTTTTAAGCAGAGTCTTTAGATAGTCATGCACTCTTGAACTCCATGGGGCCACCCCAAGAACGAAGGACCTTCATCCGCTAAGGATCGCTATATGAGGGCCGTCCGTTATTGCCAGTGAAGGAATTTCGATCACATGTTAAAACACACATGTCGCGAAAGGGAAACTGCAGTCCGCGAAAGGCCGGCGATAGGACAGCGAAAGACATGTGCCAACCTAGTTACATACAATGTGCATAATACATGACACATCCTTTTTCCCGAACAGAAACATGGATTTTCGCGAAAGGGCTGCGAAAGGCCGGCGGTAGGCCCGCGAAAGGGCGCATTGCCTGGAAGGTCATCTGCCCATCCATGGCCTTGAAATAAGCCTTGAAACATTTGTTTCAAGTATGAATTGACAAAGGGATTTAGCCTGCTTCTCAGCGCACTAACAGGTATTTAGATATCCCAAACACTGTGAACTCAGTCAAGCTCATCACAATGCGCGAAAGGAAAACCTGTGGTTTTTCTGCAAACGCGAAAGGGTCGCGAAAGGCCGGCGATACAAGCTCAAAAAGAATAGCTTTGTTGGACAACTCCCATATAAGGCATAGCAACCTTCACTCAGTACACTAATGATCATGGCTCGTTTTGGGGAGGGCCGTTCGCTAAGTTGCGGGGATCTGGCAACCATCGCAACACAGCTGCTGGCCGCCAGCTCCTTCGCACAACTGATTCTCGAAGGTGGCACGCTGCTAAGATTGGTAGTAAGGTCGAAAACACTTCTCCAATTCGGGGCGGCAACCAACTGAACTTTCAAGGCGCATCTGTGCCATTGCTGGTCTCCCAAGATTGAAGCCAAGACTGTGACGGGGCAGCCGGGGACGGTGCCGAACGGCTATGGGGAACCTGATCCCCAGTCATCGTGAAACGAGCTCAGGGATTCAAGACGAGCTATTAAAACAGTCTCCTCCCTCCGCAACGAGAGGAGTGAGCCTAGCAAGCAGCACAGCAACCGAACTCAATAGGGATACAACGAGGGACACTCCCCAACGGTTGGAGGCCAACGCTACCAGGGTGGAGGCCACCGCTACTAGGGTGGAGGCCATCGCTATTAGGCGCTATTGGAGGCCATCGCTACTAGGGTGGAGGCCATCGCTACTAGGTCGGAGGCCATCATCGCTACTAGGTTGGTGGCCATCGCCACAAGGGTAGAGGCCATCGCTACTAGGGTGGAGGCCATCGCTACTAGGGTGGAGGCCATCGCTATTAGGTTGGAGGCCATCGCTACTAGGGTGGAGGCCATCGCTACTTGGTTGGAGGCCATCGCTACTAGGTTGGAGGCCATCGCTACTAGGGTGGAGGCCATCGCTACTAGGGTGGAGGCCATCGCTAGTAGGGTGGAGGCCATCGCTATTAGGCGCTATTGGAGGCCATCGCTACTAGGTTGGAGACCATCGCTACTAGGGTGGAGGCCATCGCTACTAGGTTGGAGGACATCGCTATTGGGGTGGAGGCCATCGCTACTAGGTTGGAGGCCATCGCTAATATATAGGTTGGAGGCCATCGCTACTAGGGTGGAGGCCATCGCTACTAGGTCGGAGGCCACGCCATCGGAGGCCATCGCTACTAGTGTTGAGGCCATCGCTATTAGGGTGGAGGCTATTGCTATTGGGTTGGAGGCAGTCGCTATTATTTTGGAGGCCATCGCTATTAGGGTGGAGGCCATTGCTACTAGGTTGGAGTTGGAGGCCATCGCTATTAGGTTGGAGGCCATCGCTACTGGGGTGGAGGCCATCGCTACTAGGTTGGAGGCTATCGCTATTAGATTGGAGGCCATTGGTACTAGGGTGGAGGCCATCGCTGTTAGGTTGGAGGCCATCGCTATTAGATTGGAGGCCATTGCTACTAGGGTGTAGGCCATCGCTACTAGGTTGGAGGCCATCGCTATTAGGTTGGAGGCCGTCGCTACTAGGGTGGAGGCCATCGTTACTAGGGTGGAGGCCATCGCTTTTAGAGTGGAGGCCATCGCTACTAAGGTTGGAGGCCGTCGCTGTTAGATTGGAGGCCATCGCTACTAGGGTGAAAGCCATCACTATATATATCGCTATTAGTTTTGAGGCCATCGCTATTTTAGGTTGGAGGCCATCGCTGCTAGGGTGGAGGCCATCGCTACTGGGTCGGGGGCCATCACTACTAGGGTGAAAGCCATCGCTATTAGGGCGGAGGCCA